ATAAGGGCAGCCATTTTGCCCATTACTGCCCCCTGCCCATCCTCTAATTGGATTTCCTCTCAAATAATATGCATTGAATCCAACATTGTAGCGAATATATGAGGTTGGCATGGCGTCAGCTTTGAATCAAGGTATTATATACTGTAAGATTCTTTTTAAAGAAATTCTTTTTTAAAAAAGCCAGATTTATTCTTTATTTGATGTGGTATAACTATAGTAAGTAAACATCCTCCTTCAATAATTTTCATTGCATTAAGATTATTAAACTATCAAATGTTACAATAACGATCTGAGAAGCAAACACACTTGTTGGAAAAAGTAAACATTCTTCCTCCCAAAATTAGATTACCTCCACTCCTTTTGAAATTTCAAAAATCCTTCAAGACTCGGTTAGGCCTGGGATTTCCTAGGGTCAGGAGACATGCTTAGATGATTCCACTGCTGAGCTGGCTATTCTTATTCTCTTTTTTTCCTCAATTTAGTATATTTTGTTTTTATAATATTTATTTTTTAATATTGATTCTTATATTTTTATATTGATCGTTTTGCATGTATTGTTTTATCGTATTTCTGTACGTGTCCCAGAACCACCTTTTGTGAGATGGGTAGATTAATAAATAATAAATAAATAAAATATGTGATTCATTTGGGTTCAAAAACGTTTCTTAGATTCTGGACATCTGCAAGATTAGCTCTTCATTTTAGATCTCCCTTGTTAACTGATCCATGGACGTTGTAGCTATTGATAAGAAAAGCAGCCTTTTTGCTTAAAAAAATTCTGAATGTTATTTCCTGAAGTCCTTATGAGATCCAGTTTGATTTAGTTAACAAGACACATCCCTTTTATTTGTATTAATAAATTAATACTACAATTCAAGGCACCGATTTCAGAGTTGCTCACTGCATTTTTTTAATAAGTTCCACTGATACTTTCGCTCAGCAATGAATTCCAACCTTTAAAATACTCAGCCAGTATAAGCATTGCTGAAAGAGAATACAAGTCTAGGAGGGGAAGGGCCTCAACATTTAGTTTAGTTTAGTTTACTTTATTGTCATTGCACCTCGTACAACGAAATCAAACACCATCTTCAGTGTTTTATTTAGTTTTTTGAAAGTCATACATGGATCCCTTCTTTACCTTTGTTGATGCAAGTACCTTTTCCCCAAAGGAAGTAACTTTGGTATTGGAAAAACAGCAGGTGACAACACAGTACTCTAATAAAGATGGGAGATAGGGAGAATTTACTTGACCTCATTAGTGCAGTAGTTTTAATATAAAATTGGGCCTTACATACATGGTATATTAAAAGAAATAGCAAATATAACAGCATCAGCTATTTGGGTGCCACATATAGGTGAAACTCGAAAAATTAGAATATCGTGCAAAAGTTCATTTATTTCAGTAATGCAACTTAAAGGTAAAACTAATATATGAGATAGACTCATTACATGCAAAGCAAGATAGTTCAAGCCGTGATTTGTCATAATTTTGATGATTATGGCTTAACAGCTCATGAAAACCCCAAATCCACAATCTCAGAAAATTAGAATATTAAATGCAATCAATAAAACAAGGATTGTACATAGAACAATATCGGACCTCTGAAAAGTATAAGCATGCATATGTACTCAGTACTTGTTTTGGGCCCCTTTTGTAGCAATTACTGCCTCAATGCGGCGTGGCATGGAAGCTATCAGCCTGTGGCACTACTGAAGTGTTATGGAAGACCAGGATGCTTTAATAGTGGCCTTCAGCTCTTCTGCATTGTTCGGTCTCATGTCTCTCATCTTTCTCTTGGCAATGCCCCATAGATTCTCTATGGGGTTCAGGTCAGGCAAGTTTGCTGGCCAATCAAGCACAGTAATCCCACGATCATTGAACTAGGTTTTAGTGCTTTTGGCAGTGTGGGCAGGTGCCAAGTCCTGCTGGAAAATGAAATCAGCATCTCCATAAAGCTCGTCTGCAGAAGGAAGCATGAAGTACATCCAATATCTCCTGGTAGACGGCTGCGTTGACCCTAGACTTAATGAAGCACAGTGGACCAACACCAGCAGATGACATGGCTCCCCAAATCAACAGACTGTGGAAACTTCACACTGGACTTCAAGCATCTTGCAATGTGTGCCTCTCTATTCTTCCTCCAGATCAGTCTGGGTCCTTGATTTCCAAATGAGTTGCAAAAGTTGCTCTCATCAGAAAAGAGGACTTTGGACCATTGAGCAACAGACCAGTTCTGGTTTTCTTTTGCTCAGGTAAGACACTTCTAACCTTTTTTGTTGTTTAGGAGTGGCTTGACAAGAGGGATACATTTGAAGCCCATGTCCAGGATCCGTCTCTGTGTGGTGGCTCTTGATGCACTGACTCCAGCCTCAGTCCACTCCTTGTGAAAGTCCCCAACACTTTTGAATGGCCTTTTCCTGACAATCCTCTCCAGGCTGCGGTCATCCCTGCTGCTTGTGCACCTTTTTCTTCCACACTTTCCCCTTCCACATAACTTTCTATTAAGGTGCTTTGATACAGAACTTTGGGAACATCCAACTTCTTTTGCAATTACCTTTTGAGGCTTTCCCTCCTTATGGAGGGTGTCAATGATGGTTTTCTGCAGAACTGTCAGATCAGCAGTCTTTCCCATGATTGTGATTCCTACTGAACCAGACTGAGAGACCATTTAAAGGCTCAGGAACCCTTTGCAGGTGTTAATGGCTTAATTAGCTGATTAGAGTGGGACACTTTGAGCCTAGAATATTGAATCTTTTCACAATATTTGAATTTTCTGAGATTGTGGATTTGGGATTTTCATGAGCTGTAAGCCATAATCATCTCAATTATGACAAATCATGGCTTGAATTATCTTGCTTTGCACGTAATGAGTCTATCTCACATATTAGTTTCACCTTTTAAGTTGCACTACTGAAATAAATGAACTTTTGCACATTATTCTAATTTTTTGACGCTCACCTGTATACCAGAATCTTTTTAAGACTCTGAGGTATCTAGAAAAATAGCAGCAAAGGACTGGCTGTTTTATTTTTCAGTTAAGACTAATTTCCAGAAAGTCTGAAATGAAATATTAGTAATTTTTTCCCTTTGTTGTTAAACTGTACTAAATATTGTTTACAGACTACATTGGCACTAAAATCTTGTTCCATATCTACTTCCCACATCTATCCCGAAATAGGCAATCCTGAACACAGTTGGACCAGAATTTATTTATTTTTAATAAAGTTTTATTGAGTTTTAACAAAACAAATAAAACATCTTATTTGAGTACAGCATGGTTCCGGGTCATCACATTTCCATACAGACACAATTTCATATGCATATTCATCTTATATATTCAACTTCATATTTTATTACGCTTTTTCCAGCTTCTCACTATTTCTCTCTTTACTTCTCTTAATTTTCTTTTATGGTTATCTCATTTTCTTCTTATTCAATTGTATTTCTTTTACCTAAATTTCTATATCTTTTTATTCATTATACTTATACTTTCGTCTGTCTTGTTTACAATTTCATATGTTCTCTTCCAACAGTTGGACCAGAATTTCTGTTGCTAAGGCAGGCGGTTGTTAATTTTATTACCATTTTTGCCACAGTTGTTAAGCAAATCACTGCAGTTGTTAAGTGAATCGTGTGGTTGTTAAGTAAATACAGCTTCCCCCACTGACTTTTGCTTGTCAGAAGCTGGCTGGGAAGGTTGCAAACGACATTAATACTACTGCGGAGTGCAGCAACTGTCCTAAATACAAGCCAATTGTCAAGGACATGAATTTTGACCACATGACCATGGGGATATTGTGAGAGTCACGCCTGTGGGATCTGTTTTAAGCCACTTTTTTCAGTGCCCTTGTCACTTCTAACAGCCATTAAATGAATGGTTGTAAATCTAGGGTTATCTGTATGAGCAGAATGGCCTGGCCTTTTCTCTGGACTATGTCCATTTATCAAGGTCATAATCCCTGTCTGTAAAACAATCTCTAGCAGTTTCTACAAAATGTTTGTTTTCAAGATTTGTTTCAGGCACTGCAATTCAGACATCACACCTTAGCCAGTAATTTATCTTACCATATTCTGAGTGAAATGTGCAACACACTGCTGGGAGGAACATTCTGCAATACTGTATGAAAAGAGAACTTAAGCAAACCCTTTTGATGCAACTGTTAACAGCCTTCTCAGGAAGCAGAACTAAACAGTACAGTAACGCAAAGTAAGACTTCAGAGTATGATAATGCAAAGTAAGACTTCAGAGTACATTTACTTAGAAAAGAACTGTAGCAAGGCAGAATAAGGAGGAGGGGCTTTTAGTGACCTACGCTTATTTTTCATATATTTGGGGAAACGGTGATGATATCATTCAACGGTGCAAAAACCACCACCTCGTCCAGCCCGATGTGATTAAAAACCGGGTCTCCTTTAAATCAGCTTGGTTCCAAGCGACAGCCCGGATCCATCCCTATAGTTTTCTTGCCAGTAAGACAAACATGGCTTGCCGCTGATTTAAATCTTTTTTTATTATTATTATTTTCGATTGTCCCGTTTGCCCTCCTGCGCAAGAACTAGGATGCTATATCCGAGCTGCGAACATCCGGATAAATTCGAGTTTTGTATTTCCCCTCTGTTGCCATCACAACGGCCGTCCGGAATTTTGGCAACCCAGAAATGGTAATAAAAAGACGGGATGGGGGGAGGGCGGGGCGAAACGACCCCGGGGCCGGTGCGGATAAAGGCTTTCCTCCAAAGAAAAATGTGCCCTTGAAACATAGTTAAAATAAGAAAACACAAAGCAGGCAACAGCTAGGCCCCACTTTTACAAGCTTTGCCGCAGGAAACCCCCAAACAGAAAAGGTAGCTAGCTCATAATTCTTTTATTCCCCGACCAATAAATCCAAGTCAACCTTCCACCCACGCACCCCTCCTTTTCCCGGCTCCAATTAGCGGCCATTCTCTGGTAAAAAGTCCAGCAGTTGCCCCACCCCTTCTTGGAAGGCACCAACTAGGTGGAGCTCGTCTAGGCTGGGGAAACGACCACAGGCCGCGGTTCTGATTACGGAAGCGCGGAGGCCGCCTCTGTCGGTCCCGGTCTCCCTTCGCCTCCCCGCTGCTCGTCGAGCCGTAAGACGAAAAAAAGGGGCGCGCCCCGAGCGAGAGGTGCAGAAGAATGAGGCTCGTGAGGCCCTGGCTCGTCCTGGCGCTTTTAGGTTGGAGCCACTGCAGCGGGTTTAACACCCGGGAACCGCAGACGGAAGGTAAGCCAGAGATCAAAAGTTACACCAGGAGCTGAAAGCGGGCAGGGCTGGCTGGCGCCTGCGCTTCCTTTCTTACAAGGGGAGGAGAGGGGAATATGGCCTGGGTGGCCCTCGGGAGGGATGGAGTTGTGGGGGGGGGGGGGAAGAGGACCCCCCCCCGCACGCGCCAGAAGAAGCCAACATTAGTTCTGATCTGACTGACAATCTCCATATACCTTAAGATCTGGTGCAAGGTCTGGCCTCTTGCTTTTGAGCCCATTCTGGATTCTTTCCCCGCCATTCGCTCTTTTTCTGTCTACTCTTACCCACCCACCCCGTCCTTCGTGGGAAAATACAGCGTTTCAAGCGTCCCTGGGGAGTGGGGGCATCTAAAATCTCATCTCTGTTTGAGATTCTGGATCTAATCGACGCGTTCAGAATAACATCATCAACAAAATGAAGCTTGCATGCACTGTTAGCGACCCCCCTTTTCTTTGGTTTTCGTGGGGCGAGGTGTCTTTCTCCAGTTTTTACGAAACGGTTGTTCCGGTTTTCCCAGGGAGTTTGCCTTGGCTTTTGTTTATTTTCCTTCTTCCTGCAGTGAGGGACCAGCATTGGGGGATGATTTCCTCCCAGTGTTCCTCTTGTTTTGTTTTCTTGTTTCTTTTTAATCCCTAAAACATGATCAAACACATGGGTTAATCCCATTTTCTTTTTGGCTTCTGTCTATTATTTATTAATGTTAATCAAAAAGTCAAAACTGAGAGGTTTACAAAGTACAATTAAGTATATATATATACAATATTAATAAATCATTGTAAAAACCATAATTATGACATCATTACTAATGTCCACATACGTCCTCCAGACTTCAAACAGGAGCTTAAATAAACCAGGTTTTCCTAACACACACTGGCTTTTAACACATATAGGAGACAGTGAATAAACCATAGTGAGGCATTTGATTTATTCATGTCAGGTTGATTTATCTAAACATATCCTGATGTTAGTTTCGCCGTTCTCTTGTCATTTCTCAGATCTGAACTAGAGTGAATCATAATTCACCAAAATCTTACATATTTGTCATGGTTGATCTTGATTCTGTTTTTAAAAAGCTAAGAGACTATTGTTGGGGTTAATATTTAAATGGAAGCCTACAGAAATCCCAAGGCTGTAGATTACACAGGGACATTTTAAAAAATCTTAGAAGAAAACAAGAGCTTCCATAGTGTTGTAAAGAAAATAACACAGGCATATCTAAAATAGTCACCATGAGTCACCAAGAGTTGTGCTCAGCCTTATGACATCTTGTTACTAGGTTCAACTCTGAGCAGGAATAAAAATTGATTGATGAGGCGTAGGCAAGGTGATCCTGGTATATTCACACTCTTGGCATCCGCCTATATTTCTGCCCTGCCTGCTATTTTTAAGGTGCTTTTATTTGATGTTGCTAAGTAAAGGTGAAGTTAGCCAGATATTAAAATGATCCTATGTAAAATTATTCTTACAGAAAAAAAGGATGCTTATTGTATCAAAGTGGAAAGTACTTATTGTATTGTAGTGGAAAGTACTTTCAGTAAGTGTCGTGTATGGTTTTTGTTGTTGTTTGGCAATGGCAGCTCTGGGGAGGAAGAAAATTCTGCATTTTGCTAGAGCATTCATGAGAAGCCTTTAACATGCAAAATAGAATTGTCACTAAAAAGGGACTTACTAGTGAAATAGAGCCATTTTTCTGATGGCTGGGGTCTGTGGGAGTTCAAAACCAATTCAAGACAAAGCACTAGGCTGGAGAAAGCTATAAGAAACGCTCTTTTAGGTTTTAGATTTTTTTCATCAAATAAGATGCATAGGGAAAAACTTAAGATTTCTTTCAACTTGTTGAAAACTTTTAACCGTTTGTTCTTTTTAAAGCCATTTGAAAGATACTTCTTTTATAAGACATTCCTGAGTGAAGCATTTTGCCAATTTATTTATTTGTATCCCACTTTTAGTATTTTTACAAATAATTCAAGGCGACGAACCTATTCAACACACCTTCCTCCCTCCCCAGAACAACAACCCTGCCAGGTGGGTTGATCTGAGAGAGTCTGGTTCACAATCACCCAGCTGGCTTTCATAGCTATGGTGGAATTTAGCCTTTTCTCCTGCATCATACTATAGCAGTGTTTCAAATAAGGAAGTAAAAAAGTCATTTCTTTGTGCAGGGTGACTGTTTATTATTTGCCAGCAAGCAGCTTCTTGTTGCTATAAATAAGGGGTTTATGAAATTAAGTAAATTTTCAGTAATTCCTGCATTCCTTTCAATGAGCTTGCCATGCTGAGTGTAGCCACAAGAATGAGAATCATGCTTAAGTGGCTGGCTTGTTCTAAGACATTAGTTAGAAAAGTCCAGCATAAATCTTGTCAGTGCACACAAACACAGAAAGTTGGGAACAGTCTCCTTAGTCTGTTTTGTGTTTGATGACACTCTGTAAATGGAGGCAAGATAGCTTTGTGTTAATGCTGAGGTGCATTTGTCTGCAACTGTGTGCGTTTCAGTAGACATTTCACTGTCTACAGTACAACTGAGTGCACTTCAGTAGGATAGTTGTTTTCACAGAAATAAATGTAACAAGGGAATTCTATTTACAGATATTTGGACTGTATTGCTGTCTCTGTTGTATTTTATACAGACAAGCTCTGGACAGTTTTGTCCAGTTTGCTCTGAATGATATACAGGTAGTCCTTGATGTACGACTTCATTTGAACCCAACATTTCTGTTGCTAAGCAAGACAGTTGTTAAGTGGGTTTTGCCCCATTTTATGACTTTTCTTGCCACAGTTGTTAAACGAATCACTACCTGAGTTAAGTTAGTAACACAGTTGTTTTTTAAGTGAATCTGGTTTCCCTGTTGACTGTGTTTGCCAGAAGGTTGTAAAAAGTTGGACCATGGCCATGGGACACTGCAACCATCGTAAATGTATGCCAATTGTCAAGGCAAGCATCCAAATTTGGACTACGGGGATGCTGCAATGGTCATAAGTGTGAAAAAAGTCATAAGTCAGTTTTTTCCCATGCCATTGTAAGTTTGAACAGTCACTAAATAAATGTTTGTATGTCAAGCATTACCTGAGATTCCCTCAGTTAGAGCAAATTGGAGGAAGAATTTAAAAAGGAAGGGCTAGTGGTAAGTGACTGTAATAACTGACCTACCAGTTTAGTAACTAGCACAGGTCATCTGGGCTCTAGATATAATGGTGGTTACCCAAAGGAGGTAAGCTTATTCTATACAAGCACGTTCTCTAATCATGTTCATAATGCCTGGTCTTATTGCCCAGAGCAAGCATATTCAGCAAACAATGTACAGCTCTCCTTTCTTTGCTTTTCCTGCCTCAAAGCAAGACCATTGGGTGTTTGCTAGTATCTTTCAATATCTCAGCAGCAAAACCCCGGTTTGAGCTTTTGAAGAAGTCGAAGATAGTATCAGAAATAGCAGAAACAGATAGCAGAAATGTAGAGTAGTAACTGCTGGCCTCAACAATTTCAAGGCGTGCAGTCCTCACCATGGTGAGCATAATTACTGAAACCTGCCTTCAGAACAATCACCATTTTTTAAGTGACTTTTTTTTCTACCAAATGGCATTTCATTTTGACTTTATCAGATGATCTTCTGCATCTAGGAGGCCTACGTTCATTGTGCAATTGAAGGACCAGACTGTAAGAGTGAAATGCATCTTGTTCATTGCAGATTTTGCAGGCTAGGATACAAAATGAGCTTCTCCATAAAAAATAGTTAATATTGTCTGGTCCAGGATATACCACATGAAACTTTCTTGCTATAGTTCTCCCTCTCCCCCCCCCCCCCCCCCCCAAAAAAATTTGTTTTACACTAAGATTTCTGTCCAGGCAACTTGGTAGTAGGAGAGACGGACTTGGAAGCACTCAACCACCAGATTGAAATTCTAATGAAACACCTTCTTTACATACATATTCTTACACTGTATATTTTAGCAGTTCTATGGTAGTCATTATAATATCCAGGTAATAAGTAACGAGGCGTGTAGGTGCTTCTACTGTAAATGAGATCACTCCCCAACTTCCAGTAACAGTACCATGACCTATAATTCAGACATGTTGATGCTATTTTGAAGAATGGGAGGGAAGAAGGGAAAATAGAAAGTTGCAACATCAAAATGAATTAAGTGCTAAAACGAACATTTTAATCAAGAACATCTTTGCTTAAACATAGAGGTTTGGCATTGTTAGACATATTTCTGTTAAATGTTGGCAGGATCAGAATACCAGTTCCCTTTCAGTGTCAGTTCTGGAAATCTCTTAAAAGGGGAGCCTTGATATTTTATGAAATATAATATTTGCTATGCACAAATCTCGCCTTGCTCTGATTTTTTTTCCTCTCCCCCCCTTTTTCCTTTGTCTCAGGAATGAGGAAACTACAGCCTGTTATTGAATGACAGCTCTTAGCAACTTTGGTTAGCATGTTAAAAGCAAGGAACACTAATGTTGTAGTTCAGCAATAGCAGGTTCTCTTCTGAAAACAACAAGCAGAAAGAAGATATCTTGTTTACAACCATGCAAAATAAAATTATTTGATAGCACATCCTCAAACACAGTTCTGCAGAGTTAGGATCTTTTAGATGTATTTTATTCTATGTATGCCTAAGATAGAATACAAGGTACCATTCTTTCAAAATATGTTTCATAGGGAGAAGCCCAATTTGGACATTTTTCTCCTATATCCATTCATGAAGATGTTTGCTAACTGAAAAGCAGCGTGTGTGTGCATTGAACAAAGAAGCATGGAGAGTGGCAACTTCATTGCACAACATGAGTAAAAACATAACTTGTGGATTCCAATACAAGAGGAAGTTTCTCTCTAACGTCAAATAGAAATTTGGAGAGTTCCTTTCCCAGTTCCTATCCACTGAGCACAGTGGCCACTTGAGATGGCCGTGTTCCCTTCATGCTGCAGAGTTCTGTTAATCAGATAACTGAATTTGAAATTTAGAATCATGTATCTTCCAATTAGATGGGAAGCTGCAGCAGTGATAAATATAGTTTATTTTTATAGTACTTCTGCACATACAACTAACCTTTTGCAACTTATTTATTTATAACAGTGTTTTTGTATCACCCCACTTTGAAGCAGGTGAAGTAAATGGACTGTATTGCTTTTTAAGTTAAGTAAGTAAAATGGATGCCAAGCCATATAAAGTTGAAAACCAGTTCCTTGAATTGACTGTGGAAGGTTATTAGTCAGCAGCGCAGCAAGTTCAGCATGGGTGTATTAGGTGAACCTACCCCTCTCCTTAATAGCCAAAGCATGCATTCTGAACCAACTGCAACTGCCAAGTCACCTTCAAAGACATTTTCATTTAGAGCATATTGCAGTAGTCATAACTTTTGGGCAAAAGGACTGTGGGTCAGTTTTGCAAAGGCATCCCAGTTCCTCAAAATGTCTTCCTGCAAAGGGAATGCAACTCTCAATGGAGTCTGCCTGAAGATCAGGATGATGCCCGTTCAATCCGTGCGTGTTTGGACCCATACAATCCCTCACAAGCCTCAAGATACTGGATCAGGCCCACTACAATATGTTTGGTGTGGTCTGGTCTGAAACGGTGAGATATATAGTTGAGCATTATTAGCACACCGATGGTGCGTCACCAAAGTAATAAATAACCTCTTGCTGTTATCTGTTTATGAGAGAGTTTTGTCACTGAAAGAGCCATGAGCTTGACATTGCTTTCCCAACATGTTCATGTTGACTTATACTGTGGAAAGAGCAGAAATATTGTATTATAGTGGTCCCAAACTTCACAGCCAGGGTCAGCAGCATCAAATACTGCTGAGATATCCAGGGCCCAGCAGAGGTCATCAATCAAAGTTCTACATGGTACTGTCCTACATTTGGGCTTAATTCCTGCCTGAAAGGGGGTTTAGACCAGGGGTCTCCAACCTTGGCAACTTTAAGACTGGTGGACTTCAGCTCCCAGAAGCTTTGCTGGCTGGGGAATTCTGGGAGCTGAAGTCCACCAGTCTTAAAGTTGCCAGGGTTGGAGACCACTGGTTTAGACCGTCTGTTTCTTCTAGGATGAATCTCAAAATCTTGCCCAGTAAAAGAAAATAGATATTGATAGCATCTTTATAACCGTTTTAAAACTTCCCTAAAAACTTATCATTTTATTTTTATTTTTAGTTCCTCCTCCCAAAAATGTTACTGTAAAATCATATAATGAGAAGATCTCTGCATACTGGGATTATGAAAGTCCATCGTTAAAACCTCTATTTACGGTGATGATCAAGTGCTATAGGTAAGACTGTTTTGATTTAGAACTCTGCGTTGCTTTGCTCAATTTTTGTCACTGATTTTGTTGGCCAGAAAATCAGCAGAACCAACAATCACAGATTTTCTTTCTACTTTTTAAAAATAGTTTGACTATAAACTGACTTTTTTTCTCTCTCCATTTTTGGCAGCACTGGTGCTGGGAAGAACGTGGATACTTGCACAAACATAAAGCAAAACTATTGTGATCTTACCAACAAAACTGATAACTGTGAAACTTTCTGGGTTGGAGTGAAAGCTCTTTCTGGACAACACCAATCTAACTATATTGAACAAAAGTTTGATGTTCTCAGAGATGGTAAGTGATCATTCATATATAAGGTTTAGATAAAAAAGCATTTACCACTTTTAGAAATTAATTGTTTTTGTTGTCTGTATACTTTATGATGTAGTGTAGCAACTGGTTTTTCACATCAAATTTGAAAATTGCATTAACATATTACAAATTATAATAGCCTTTGTCGACATGGTACCTTCCAGTCATGTTGGTGGGATAGCAAAGCTCATTCTCAGATTTCCAATCAAGATGATGCCAGAATGATGAAGCATGGATCTTGGCACCACAAGCACAGGAAGGAACTGGGCATGGCTAGTCTAGTGAAGAGAAGGACCAGGGGAGACATGATAGCAGCCTTCCAATATTTGAGGGGTTGCTACAGAGAGGAAGGGGTTAAGCTATTTTCCAAGGCACCTGAAGGCCAGACAAGGAATAATGGATGGAAACTGAACAAGGAGAGATTTAACCTGGAAATAAGGAGAAATTTTCTGACAGAGCAATCAACCAATGGAACTGCTTGCCTTCAGAAATTGTGGGAGCTTAGTCACTGGAAGCTTTCAAAAAGAGACTGGACTGCCGTCTGTTGGAAATGGTGCAGGGCCTCCTGCTTGGGCAGATGGTTGGACTAGATGACCTACAAGGTCCCTTCTAACTCTGTTATTCTGTATTCAACATGTCTCCTCCCAGTAGATACCCACGTTCTGTGGGCTTTAGATAGGAGAAGTTCCAGCTCTAATTGGCAGGAGCATCTGGAGCGAAGAGTTTGCTAGCACTGACATGTAATTTCAGTCCATCTTCCCTGTTCTCTTCAACATGATCGTTATGGTTTGTCATTCAGTCAGACAGATATTTAGATGGGATTTGGTATTTTTGTCCACCTATCAAATCCTTCCCAACGACCTGTGATAGACAGTTGTTGTTTAGAACATAGAATCATAGGGCTGGAAGGGATCTCAGAAGTGTTTTAGTCTAATCCGTTGCTCAAGGCAGGAGACCTTATATCAGTGGTGGCTAACCTTTTGGGGCTCCCGTGCTGATAATTGTGCACAGACTTGTTTGCTCGTGCTCACGTGCATCACCCAGAAGGCAGTGCACGTGGGGGGCCCTTATGCCTCCTGCGCCTGCGTGAGCAACTCACATAACTTGCACTTCTGCGCATGCGCGTGCGACTCACACAACCTATGCTGCACACTTCTGCACATGCACGCGCAACCCCCCATGCATGCTGCGTGCTTCTGCGCACATGCGAGTGTCTCCTGCATGCCACCGTGCCCTTGCACATGTGCGCCAGATACCCAAAAATCAGCTGGTGGGTGGGCGGCATGCACCTATGCGCAGTATGTGTTTTCTGGGCGAGTGCTCGTATGCTGGCAGTAATGGCTCTGCGTGCCACTTCTGGCACACTTGCCATAGATTCGCCACCACGGCCTTATATCATCTTATTCAAATGGTTGTCTAGTCTATTTCTGAAAACTTCCAGTAATAGAGTACTCACAACTCCAGGAGACAAGCTATACCCTTGATTAATTGTTCTCATTGTCAGAAAATTTCTCCTAGATTGGATCTCTTTTACAAACTTCCCCCATTACTTCTTGTCCCACCCTTCAGTGCTTTGGAGAATAAATCAGCTCCCTCTTCTCTATGATAGCCTTACATGTATTGAAAGATTATTATCATGTCTCCTGCAAATCTTCTCTTTGATAGGCTAGACCAGTGGTAGTCAACCTGGTCCCTATCGCCCACTAGTGGGCGTTCCAGCTTTCATGGTGGGCGGTAGGGGTTTTGTCCCCTACTTTATAAATCACCATTACTGTGGACCCGGTGGGCGGTTAGAGAAAAATTTACTACTAACAGAGATACAGAAAGTGGGCGGTAGGTGTAAAAAGGTTGACTATCCCTGGGCTAGACAGCCATAGTTATAATCACCTTGGGTGTAATAACAAAGCAACTGGAGTACCCCTTGAATACCATCAATATTGACAAAAGCACCATAAATCAATTACAAAAACCAGCTTTACTTGAAAAAGTTTATATCTTGCAACAATACGCTAACTGACACCATCAAACTTCCAAGTGAAGCTTCCTTTTGCAATTGATTTATGGTGATTTTTATCAATACTGATGATATTCAAGTGGTACTCCAGTTACTTACGTATTGCACCCATGATGCCTGTTACTTTCTTTCGCCACAGTTGTTCTATTCACATGTCTTTATGTGTTGTGATAGCTTGCTCTTGAGCAGCCAAAATCAAGTCTTTTTTTTTATGTTCCGGTTGTAAGCCATTGCCAGTTTTTTTCTTTATTATTGCTATATTCCTTATATTGCTCACCTGCAGCATCTGGATGTGAGTTAAAAGAGAAAACATCACTTCCTAAAGGCAGTACCCAAAGCCATCCTCGGACTGCCTGAGGTAGACTGTGAATTACAGGTGGTAGCATCCTTAAACTAGGGCAAGACATTTCTGTGGACTTGATCTTGCTGTTAGGGAGACATTTTATTCAGGCCAAAACTAATATATCAGCATATTGCCTACATCAAGGGTCTTCAAACTTGGCAAGTTTAAGACTTGTGGACTTCAACTCTCAGAATTCCTGAGCTAATATGACTGGAGAAAGAATTCTGGGAGTTGAAGTCCACAAGTCTTAAAGCTGTCAAGTTTGAAGTTCCCTGGCCTACATCTTCTGTAGTTGTGGGGACAAAGTCAGTTTCTTCTTTCAGTAAGATATAGTTTCTATGTGGCTTCTTTAAGGTTCAATAGAGAAGAATATTTGTAGCTCAGAATTGGCCTACAGGGGTCTTGGTTCTATCATGATGCCAAACTCAAAGAGCACCAAGGACCCCCACAGTACTTCAAGTCAGGCTAGTTCTCATGAAAAAGGGGTGCACATTGGCTCTTTCATGCTTTGTTACTTTTATTTTCCTCCAAGATGGGGTACAGACAGCAGCACCACAGGATTAACTGGAACAGATCCAAAGCATGTCATCCCAAAAATGTTCTTGCATTTTCCACGTTTTATAAAGCAGGCTGGATTTTGAGTTTTGACATATTCATCAGTTTGGAAAAGTGGTCTCTTGATTGCTTTCCCTACCTATTGTTTCCAGAAAGTGACTTATATCATTGCATTCTATTTCTATATAAATAAACATTTTATTAGAATGTTGTGTTGTGTTGTCAAAATGTGATACTAATAGAAAATGTTGCAACTCTTTCAGGCCAAATAGGACCTCCAAAGTTCAATCTTTCCATTGATAATCAGGACATTGTAGTCAATATTGAGCCACCTTTATTTCCATATGATGACCTGATTGATGAGTTCACCTACAAATTGTTCGTTTGGAAAAACGGAGATCGAGAAGGGGTATATTTTAAGTCTCTAATTTTTCTTCATAATATTTGTGCCTTTGATGCTGTATTCAAAAAAAGTCATTAAGCCTTGTGAATTTAGTGGTGGCTGGTTCTGCTATCTCTGACATTGGTGGTAGCACAGTAGAGGTGAGGCAATATATCACCAATAATCTCTTCTTTGGCAGAATGCCTCCTGCCAGTTTCCATTTATCATCCTTTAATGGTAGACCTAGGGACATGGTGGCTCAGTGGCTAAGACACTGAGTTTGTCAATCAGAAAGGTCGGTGGTTCGAATCCCTAGCGCCATGTAATAGAGTGAGCTCCCATTACTTGTCCCAGCTTCTGCCAACCTAGCAGTTCGAAAGCATGTAAAAATGCAAGTAGAAAAATAGGGAACACCTTAGTGGGAAGGTAACTGTTCCATGCACCTTCATTGTTTAATTATGCCAACCACATGACCAGGGAGTTGTCTTCGGACAGCGCTGGCTCTTTGGCTTTGTAATGGAGATGAGCACTGCCTCCTAGAGCTGGAAACGACTAGCACATATGTGCGAGGGGAACCTTTACCTTTAAAGTTGGAGCATACTAGGAAACCAAAATCATGCAGTTCAATATTATTTTTATGATAAAAATACAGTAATAGAATCTTGCAAGACTACATGTGACTCATATGAAATTCAAAACTCACAGGTTTGGAAACAACATTCCAGAAAACTCTGAACTAGTTCTGAAAACCATGCCTTCTTTAAAGGTTGTTTGATAGATTTTTGCAAGTAAATGTTTTGAGCTAACAATGGTGCAGAGTATTCTAGACCAAAACGAGATTCAAAAGGTTTGAAGAAAGAATTTGTTTCTTTGCAGATGAAGACTGTATATTTGTGTATATTTCTGTTTATTCTGTTTACGTTTCTTAAAGGAAGTTCTAACTACAATATATTTCATTTTTTTATAGCAACAAGAGGTTATCTCAGATGACTGCTCTCTTGAGCTATGCAATGTATCTCTGTCTGTGTCTTTGGATACCTCTTACTGTATTTCCACTCAAGTCATTTCACGGCCACTAAACAAGGTTGGTGAAGAATCAGAAGAAAAATGCATCTCACCAACTCCCAAGTCCAGCCTAGGTAAAGATTTTAAATCTTCAGTAAATAGATAATTGTACAAAATATTCTGTCCTGAAGCTCAGCACGTTTCTATCAGCATCTCATTTTTACATGTCTGTGGGGAGAGGATTTTTTCTCACTATATTGCAAAGTATTATTTATTGAAAAATCCAGAGGGGTGGAAGAGAACAAAAAAGCAGAAGTTGGATTTTCCTTTCCTTCTCTCCCCTTTTCCTTTTCCCACCCCACCGCACCCCTCTCCTCTCATTTCTTTTTTTCTTTCATTATAAATTCCAACTGGTAATACTGAGAGAAAAGAACCGTTATTTTGAGGTGATAAATTTAATATATCTCATTTTAAAATGTTGAAATTTGTGTATAGTGGATGTCTAAGTTACAGGTACTTCTCGAGTTACAACTGTAATGGAGCCTGCCCATTTGACTCGTAATGGGAGGATTTGTGGGAGTGAATCTCATACCTTGAACAGGATCAGTCCCTCCTTTCACCCACACACTTGCTAATCAAATGCAAGGCTTGTTAAGTGCATGAGGCATTTCAAGATGGGGAAGGCCACGGGGAGACCTAGTGATGGAACAGGCCATCTGCCTAAGACTACCCAAGGCCTCCTGACCCACTGAAATACTTCATGCTCCCCACAATTGCTTTGCCCAACCACCCAACCTGCCGCACCAGGTTGTGAAGATCTAGCAAGCAGTCTTCTCTCAGCTACATGCACACCCCTGCAGCTCCGTTTGGGCCTCTGGTGCCCTTGCCCAGCACGTTGCAGGCCAAAATGGAGCTCCAGATGGGCGCATCTGCCTCTCTGACACTCCAGGCCTCCGGAGGTCTCACCCAGCACGTTGTAGGCTGAAATGGAGCTTCGGAGAGGCAAATCCACCTCTCTGATATTCTGGACCTCTGAAGGCCTCCGCTGGCATGTTGCAAGTCAAAATGGAACTTTGGAAGGGTGGATCTACCCTCCAAAGCTCCAATTCAGGCTGCAACCTGCTGGGGGAAGCCTCTGGAGGCCTGAACGGAGTGTCTGCCCCACAAAGCTTCATTTTGGCCTGCAACCTGCCAGGCAAGGGCTCCGGAGGCCTGAATGGAGCATCATAGGGGCGGATCTACCCATCTGAAGCTCTATTTTGGCTGACAATGTGCAGGACAAATGTTGCAGCGGCTGTGCAATTGTTTGTAAGGGCGAACAACTGTCATGGTGCTGCAAGATTTGTAGTTTCGGGACTTGTTTGTAAATGCTGGAAGGTACTTATCGCATAACTTTGAACATTTGCTAAGGGAATGCTCGTAGCCCAGGTATTACCTGTACCGTGTTCTCCGAAAATAAGACCCAACCAGAAAATAATCCCTAGCATGATTTTTTTCAGATGCTCATAATATAAGCCCTACCCCCAAAATAAACCCCAGTTAAGATTGTCAGGCAGACAGATACATTTTAGTATCACATTTCTCTGAAAATAAGACCTAACTGGAAAATGAGCCCTAATGCATCTTTTGGAGCAAAAATTAATATAAGACCTGGTCTTATTTTCAGGGAAACACGGCATTTACAAGATTTCTAATATTGTATTAACCGATGTAGAGATTCAGAAACAACTAATTCCTGCCAACTAATTAAAATCAATAAATGAGGGAAGAGATACTCCCTCTTAATGAGGAAGAAGAAATGTTGGGAGTCCCAAATGTGTTTTATAGGACTTGGCAATTCTATTCTGAGCTGTTTTTTTAAGTAGCATTTTTAAGCAAAATATTTATACTTGTATACATTTGTACCCAGTTTAACATCCAAGCATTAATGCAAGGGTTAAGGCCAAGTGAAATATTTCTGCTTATGGTATGTACTTGTTCTGCTTTTCTGAGTGCTTCTGTCGTCTTTGCTTTCCATGAAGCTTTTTCTCTTGGGATCTCTGTGCTAGAAACTATTTATATCTGTATACTTGTACTATTGGCCAAAGTTGCTGCTCCCCTAGTTGTACAAAATATTGTCGGAAAAATATTTCAAACTGTTGGTGTTCTCTAACCCTAATTTAAGATGTGGAGAAAGTAAGCTACCATTGCTATGATGTCAAGCCAGCTTGCTACCTCAGTATAAAATGATTTTATAATTGGACCCATTTAAGTACACTGGATTATGCTTTTTTGGACAGTGGCTGCATACATTTGTGATTTTAGGGAGTTGCTTTATGAGTTAATTATGCTTTATGAAAGAAGAACCAATTAATTGCTGGATAACTATGTATCTTTTGTCTCTTAACATATATAGAAAATGTACATCATATGGTGGTAGTATGTATTCAGCATTAATTTTATACAATAACATGTCTCTTTTAATTTTGTAGGCTTTACACTATTGATAAGTTTTGGAATTGTTGTCCTGGTTGTTGTGGTAATCATTCTTGCTGTAGTGCTTATAAAATTTCAGGAGAGAAAAATTATGCTTCCAAAATCTCTGGTAAGATACCCCAATATCTTTATTCCTTCTGAGCAGTTAACATTATGTTTATTGCAAGGTCATTTTAACATAATCTTGCAAATCTGAAAGTACCCCACCTATCCTTCCTTTGTGGAGAAAAATATCAAGGACACCTCACTGTCCCGAGTCCATAGAAGGCTAGCACCAATCTCAATATTTACTCAGTCAATGTAACTTTGTTAATATAATGTGAAAACCATTAGTAAAAAGGGATCATAGTGAAGTCCTAAAGACAAGTAATCCCTTGTTTAGCCAAATTATTTGTCCTTAAGGTGGAAACTAAAAACCAGTGTTTTTGGATGCTTAAGGACACCATTCATTTGGTCTTGCGCTAACTGCTTGTGGTCATTTCAACACAATAACTGAGCAATTGCCAACTAATTCTGGCAATCTTAAGTTTTGCGGGGGTTGTTTTCCATTAACTTCCATTAACCTTAGCATTCTTAAGAGATTTCTCAGGAAAGGGTGTAACAATCTGACAGTATGTTTTTGTATTCAAATATAAGACAAAATTAAAACAAAAGGCAAGGAATATTTATTGGGCAATGTTAATTTCAGAATTTTGTTACATACTAGTTGAAACCAAATCCAGCAACTAGTATGATCTGTATTCATGAGCAAAAGAATTTCTCTTAAGTATTATTCATGCAGAAATACCCTCAAGCAAAGCAATCAATGTTGACAATAATAGCACAGCATGAGTAATATATGTATTCCCATCAATCTTGTAGTGTGACTTTCAGTGCAGTTCTTTATATTTACTGGATTCGCTTAACTGTTGCATGATGATGATGATGATGATTGGTTGAACAATCAGCCAACTGTTTAGACTGGGTTTTTATTTTTTATCCACCTATTCTTCCCAAGGACCTGGGTAGGGTGTTAAAGGTATATTATTGCTACTTCGTTTTCATGTGGAAAATTTATATTGATTGGATGAATGTAATATCAGCATTGTTAATTGCTGGTCTTCCAAGACCTTTCCTCTTAGTTTTATATCACTTTTCATTAAAAGTGAAAACCAAGAGACTTGTGAATCATGGACTACAGATGTTTTGGTCGCCTTCACTCACCAAGTTTATGAATTTTAGAACCCACTAATAACAGTGTATAATCAAATAAAATGTTTAACTTTAGAATGCATGTTGTATTATAAAGATATTTCCTCTAAATTCACTACTCAGTAGGTAAGGAAAAATTTCATCATATTTCAGTGATATGGACTTTGGATTTATTATGTGCTATCAAGTTGTTGACTTGTAGCAATCGCATAGTTTTTTTCTATGATTATCTGTACCTAACCATTAATTAATTAACTGATTGCATATCACATTTATATGGTACCACAATCATACCAAATTTCTCCGTGTGTTAACTGATTATGTCAAAATAATAGATACCACTTAAAATATATAGTCACATGTTAATTTGGTCTGTGTTCCCCTTTGCTCGGAATTCATTCAGTAGATTTTCAGTGAAAGGTCTACGATGCATGAAGAGTGTCACAAGATGTATAGGTCGCCCTTGATTTATAATCACAATAGAGACTTTTGCAACCTTTTTTTTCCTCGTAGTCATTAAGTGAGACCATGAGTTGCAACCTCTTGCTGGCTCCTCCTTTGACCTTGCTTATCAGAACTCATTTGGGAGGGTCACAAATGGCAATCACATGAATGCGGGACACCGTTGTAAGTGCGAACTGATTGCCAAACACTTGGGTTGCAACCATGTGACTGCGGAGACATAAGTAGGAGAACTGATCACAAGTCAGCGCTATTGTAATTTAGAAAGATAGCTAAAGAAATAGTCCTGAACCAAGGGCCAATTGTACAGGGGGAGAGGGAATTTGTTCAGTCTCAACTAGAAAAAACACAGACAGCTCAGGACCTGTTTGTCCTAGTTTTCACCTGCTAGATTTGAGACCGTGTAGCCCTCTGCTATAATTTCTATTTCATCCCTTTTTGCTGTTCCAAAAAAATGGAATGGATGACTGACTTGATTTTGTTGTTGCATTTTTTTTAAAGGTGACTGTGGTAAGAAACCAAGTAGGTAATACTGAATATAAGTCAGAATGCAGATATGACATTATAACATCAACATCCTACAAGCCAATGGAACTGTGTGAAGATGAAAAACCAGCAGAGAAATTAGATGTCACCGAGAAGGCAAAAATCACTGATCCCAATTATAGCAAAGACCTAGATGTCGATAGTTCCCAAGGAATCCAGAAAGGAGAAAAGAGCACCCAAGAAGATACGGCTGTAGAAATCTCTGAAAATGAACATATTCATGAAGATGGCATCACAGATTACTCTAAATCGATCACTGGCCAAGACACATGTCCTGATCTTAAAAATCTGGATCTTCCCAGAGCAGATGTCCTAAACCCCAAACCCGCTGTTCTAAGGTGCTCACTAAAACCATCTGGGTATGACAAACCCCACTGGGTTGACTGAAGTTTTAGAGATGAATTCCGATGACTCTCCAAAAATTAGGAAAGCCATTTTTACTATGAAAGAGCATTATTGGAAACTTCATCAGAAGCATCCATGCTTGTGAGCACTTTAATCCTTGCAGTAGAGTGGGTATTCATATAGTTTGATGGTATCAAACCTGAGATGAGAACTTGTAGATGCCAAAAAACTGAACTGAGGCTGCACTCGTATAGATGCTTGGTTAAAAAAAAAAAAGTCATATTGTATTCACTCCATTTTGAATAGATATTCATAAGATTCTAATAGAATGATTTCATAATATGCCAAGATGCTGTATTGACATCCTTTTGTTAAGAAGCTGGTATTTTCTAAATATGTTAGGCTATAAATGCTATCATTCTTTGCTAGTGGCCTTGATGATTGTGTGCTGGTGGGCTAGAATGGTTGGAGAGCACTATTCTGCCCTTTGTTCTCAGAGCAATTACTTTTATCCTGCCCAAAGTATGATAATGTTTAAAGATAGGAGGATTAACTGATAAGAGGCTTCTGTCCATACTGGTCAGTGGAAGAGACTGGGACTATTACAAGTATAGTTTTCTATATGTAGTAGGGGTAGTTTGTGAATTTGTCTTTTTTTAATGGAAGAAAAATCCCAAAAGACCAACTTTTAAAGAAATACTAGAAAAGTATAGGTTTCAGCTAAGACAGGGTTGTCAAACTCAAAGCCTGCGGGCCAGATCCGGCCTGCAGGGTGCTTAGATCTGACTTGCGAGGTTGCCATGGAAACAGCAAAGGATCAGCCTGAGAGCTGCGTGCAGTCCTCCTGTGCTCCATTTTTGGCTGAGACAGCCTCCTGCAGTTCTTTGCCAGCGAAAACAGCTCAGGAGGGCCACACATGGCAGAGTGCTGCAGGAGGATCCCCCACAGCCAACCCGGGCCACCACAGGTGCCCCTGACACAAGTGACGTCAAGCTGGATGCACGCACTCTGGCCCCCCAAGGTCAAACAACCCTGATGCGGCCCTCAGTGAAATAGAGATTTGACACACCTGAGTTAAGGCATTTCCACAGAGAATTCGGAAAGACCATAGTAAGTAGATGGAGCTATATTGTAGTCAAGGACTTTCACTTTATGTAAAATGGCTTACTGGTTTCTGCATGTATTAGATATGTACCCTACTATATATATATGACTCATAACTGTATGGACAAATGTTATCTTTGCAGATATGGTAAATACTTGCACCATTTGTGTCAAATAATTGTGCCATGATAAATACTTGGGACATGTGTTAGTGTCTAAATTTACAGTATCTATTTTGCCATATGATTATTAATCTTCACTCTGCATTGGAAAGTGTTGCACAAGTAGTTTACGGCTGTGACAAACACAATGGCCTGCCAGCATTGAGGATCCTGTTTACACATTTAGTCCATAAATTTAGGGAGATACAATCACCTTCCCAAAACTGATACCTCCAAAAAGTGCAGTTCCCAGAATCCTCAGGAAACATAAAAAAATCTGGGACTTGTATTCTCAATAGAACTGAAAGTTCTAGATTAGTAAAACTAGACTAATTCATTGCACTTTACAAATAAAGGTTTAAATTTCATGCTCCTTAACTATAACTAGTTAGATAACACTAAAATTTATTTGAGAGGTAGTGAATTGTAGTGGTTAAGATGTTGGATTACAGCCATAGAGACCCAGGTTCAAGTCTGCCCTCAGCCTCAGAAGTTCACTAGGTGACTGGGCCAGTTGTTCTCTTTTAGTCCAGTGTTCCACACAGAGTTACTAGGTGGGGGAATGGAGGAGTAACTGGTATCTACACTGCCTTGATCTTGTGAGGAAAGGCAAGATAGAAATCGGTAATACTTAGATCTAAACCCGATTTAACCCCAATGTTAAATGTTGAGGCGGCTATCTTTTTATTATAGGATAGTTTTCCTTGACAATATGTATCTTGTAGCAACTATATCAAGATAAAGACTGCAAGGAAAAAAAATAGAAGTAGTCCTCACTTAACAACTGCCTGGTTTATCAATCCTTCATAAGTTACGATGGTGCTGGAAAAATAACTTTGCAGAATCATTGCAGAATCCCTGTGGTCACCAGTTCAAGATTCTTCATGCTGGCAGGTGTTTATGACTGTTGCCGCACTTGCAGTTATGTGATTATCATTTGCACACTTCACACACGACTTCCAACAAGTAGAATCAGTGGAGACACAGTAAAATCATGAGTCGCAATCCACTCAATGTCTTTTTTAACAACCGCAGTTGTTTCACTTAATGAGGTTTCAAGTCTACCAGAGCCACAGGCTATAAGACCTGTGGTGGCGCAGTGGTTAGCATTGCAGCTACTTCTGCTGACTGCTGGCTGCTGGCAGTTTGATCCTCACCGGCTTAAGGTTGACTCAGCCTTCCATCCTTCTGAGGTGGGTAAAATGAGGACCCAGATTGTTGGGGGCAATATGCTGACTCCATAAACAGCTTAGAAAGGGCTCTAAAGCACTGTGAAGCATTATATAAGTTTAAATGCTATTGCTATTGCTATCTCACTTAATGACCACATCACTTTGCAACAGAGTTGCCAGTTCCAGTCATTAAGCAAGCACTATCTATAAAGTTATCTATATCTCAATTTTTACCTTTTTTTTGTTAGCAAAAAGCAAGCTGAAAATCACTAATTAGAAGACTAGAAACATTTTTGTAGACTTACTTATAAGTTTATATTTACAGATTCTCCTGTCTCCTATTCTCCTTGAATATCTCCTTGACTTTAGGATTAGCTGCCAATGCCTCAGTTCAGGTACACAGTCACACTACGTATTGCGTATTTGTTGTGATCCAATACAGTTTACCTCTGGATTGTTTTAGCACATGGTTAGGTAATAGAGGCAAACCTAGTTTCCTTTACAGTTGGAAAAACTATGGCAACAATTCAGTAAACAAATTATCCATTAAAGGACAACTATACAAATTAGGAACACAACTTTTGAAACTGTATCCTTACAGCTTACAAGATATTGCAAGCAATAGCTCAAGAATAAAAGTATCTCCCAATTACATTGTCATTTAGTTGACTGGGAGGGTAGCTTTTTAAAATTTGATACACAAAAGATATGCTTGCTTGGGGGGAAAGATTCAGATCTCATGACAGCAACGCACCAGATGCTCCAGCCTCATAAATTAGGAGAAGATTATGCATAGCCAGCTGCACCATATAAATGCCCAGTTTTTTTATACCACACCATGACTCTTTGTATTTGTCATATGGTCTAGCATCTGGTCAGCCTAGTCCACCACCTATATATCTGCTGGAGTCAGACATATATTTATTTTGGTGTTATTTATGTTCAGAGTTCCTTCTTATATTGGATATCATTTTGGTCTTGATGGTGAGGAAAAAAAACCAATATCCAAAATGGTCAAGAAAATGAAAAAAAAAAAGCCATCCATAAATTGATACTAGGAGAAAATAATGAACTAGGCAAAGGCAGCTGACTGATGAGTTTGGGATTTTATACCTAATTATGTAAGTTTACAATTTGTGATGGTTTTGTTTTTGGAGGGTTTTTTAATATGTTTTTCTTTGGATGATCAAGCTGTCTAAACACCGTAGAACAAATTTCTTATCTACAGGATTAAGGCATTCTGTCTCCCCGTAGATACATTGCAGTGTGACTTCATGGAGTTCAAGTTCTGTTTATAAGTATTAAAAAGAATGGTTACAAAGTGTTTATTTCTATTCCATTTCCTATTTGTAGCAAGGCATTCAAATAGGAACTATTGTTTCTTACTCTGAATTGGCCTTTGGTGCCTTTAATATCACACGAATCAGGATGTTTGGTGAATATTCATAGCAAGTTCCTTAATTGACTGAAATTCATTAAGAAGCATCCCAGTAAATAAATAAAATTGTAAGTTTGAGGAAACCTCTCAGACAATACCTTGAGCATTTCAAAGCTTTCTTTCAACACACACTCACACAAAATGTTTCACAGAGGACATTTATCCAGCCCTAACTTAAACTGCTGCTTTTCAAACTTGTGATGCTCCAAATTTTCATTTCGGGCAAACTGCTTTTGTTACATATGTTTAACCGGGTTATGGCAATGTTTGTAGCAAAAGTAATGAAATCTTCCATTCTTGTTTCTCTGTAGTCTTAAATACAATTTATGTGCTGTCTTCCACAGTTTTATTAGCTGTACAGTTTGGGACATAAAAAATAGAACTCATTTCCTAATACAACACATTATACTAAATTCATATTTAAAACTTATTTTGAAAAACTGGAAAAAAATGAAAACAGTTCTGGTGCCTTTCCAATTTTCTTCCACACTTTAATAATGCAAACTTAGAAACATCAGTAAATATGATCATTCAAAAGTTAGGAAAATAAGACTTTACAGGACTAGAAAATTAATTATTGATGCCAAATATTTTGGTCACAAGTTACAATTTGAGTTCAAGCTTAACATTTTTAGTATAAATTAAAGTGCATATATCTAATCAAATAAACACATGTACTGTGTTTGAAGATCGGAATGTGTCTACATTTTTTAAAATCAAAGGAATCTCTTATATAAAATACATCAAATACCGAAAACTCTTTCAGATCCTTATAGTCTGAGAACAGCTTCAGATCCATCCAAATTTCATGAGTTTTGAATTTTATGAGATTGGAATTGTTTGGGTATATAATTCCTTTTAAATAGAATGTTGAATTTCTGTAAATATGTAATCATGATTAGAAATGCATATATGTAAGTGTATAGTACATAGCAAGATTTTGCTTTTGTATAATTCAGGTTTTATTTTTTCAGTGTATTTTGTTCATGTAAATAAATATTTTTAAATTAATTCAGAAGTCCTTACTTAATCTTGTAGCATTCTTTCACATTTTATACAGCATTTTATTTTGTTTTAATATAGCATTATGTGTTTAAATGTCTTTATATCTTAAAAACCAATATTTAAGAACGCTACTTAATTTTGAATGCTAAGAAAGCCGTTTCCTCCAGAGTGCAATGCAACAATATCAGGAGAGAGTTTCAGGGATCATGACTACACAGAAGTTTAGTAAAAGCTTGGAGCATGCAAGTTACAAATCATATAAACTTCAGAAATATTGTCAGTAGGTGGCACTCTTGTTTTGCATTCAGAAAACGTAGAAGGCATTATCTGGACAATACAGCGGGTGATTCCAAGAGACTGGGATTCTGCTTTTCATAGGCGAC